TGATATCAACCACCTTGTAACACAGGGCAGAGAGAGGTCACTATTCTATCTCTACTGCTTTTATATCTATGCTAGAATCAGTATATCTCTCTGATAGTTAATAGAAGGTAATAGTTTGCTCCTTATCCTCTGAAAGTTTATGTCCTTCCAAAGGATAATCTTACTAGCTCTAAATTCTAGAGGTCACTTAGATCATTATGGTAGTGTAGAAAAATTGACAGTTGAACTGTAACACCTGCACGTAGTACCTTTTAATGCTGTCTTCTTCCATTACATTACACTGACCTGTTTTCCATGTTTTGCAAAGACAGGTATGTCAGATTTCTTTGGTTTTGTAAGAGAATTTGGTCCAAACCTTTGTTTTTAGATCAAAATACTTTCAGAAGATCACTTCCAGAACTTTTAACATGCCTTCCCAAAGAAATATCCATGGTCTTGCACTTTCCTATGATGTACATATGTTCAGAGTTTCAGAGCTGAGAACTCTGAAGAATCCTCATGCTGCAATCATTGCATTATAGCCCTGAAGGGAGCTACACAGATGATGCAAATCAGGAAGTCCGAGGCCCACCACAGCAGCACGCGCATCCAAATGAGTTTGACGATGAGTTTGAAGATGATGATCCATTACCAGCTATAGGACATTGCAAGGCAATATATCCTTTTGATGGTAAGGTTAACAACATACACTACGGTTGCTTGACTAAAAAATAATTGGACTGTAGGGTATGGATGTTTTGTTGCAGAGAATTCAGGGTAAAATAATTTAAATTTTTATGAGCAACTATTGCTTATAAGAGCAGTGGAAATAAGTTTGATTCATAAGCACTACTTCTCTGCTGTTTATTCAGTAAAGTTAGCACAGCTTTGGCAAATATTCAGCTACAGAGATTGGATTAAGTTTGTGTCTGTCTCAGCCTGTTTGACCATATGTTTGCTTCACAGATTTTTGATACGTCCTGTTTATATGTAATCTGGAAGCTACATACTGAGAAAAAAAACTTGAAATTCTGTTGTCTTTGCCTTCTGTTTTCCCAGGTCATAATGAAGGCACTCTGGCAATGAAAGAAGGGGAAATTTTGTACATTATTGAGGAGGACAAAGGAGATGGGTGGACAAGAGCTCGAAGACAGAATGGAGAGGAAGGCTATGTACCAACATCTTATATAGATGTAACGCTAGAGAAAAACAGCAAAGGTGCAGTAACCTATATCTAACAGTAAATTGGCAACTTTCAAGTGTACATTTTCCAGGGAAAATAGTGGAAAAATAGTAAGTCAGGCAGGTTCATGGAAAGCAATAGAATAACAGAAGTCAGGAAGGGTCTTTTGTTTGCAATGTGAGTTTGCTGTAGCTTTTCCAGAGATAACAGCATTAAATTGGTCCATAATTCTGGCTAATGCTTTCTGCTTTGTTTCACTGATAAAATGTTCCTGCTCTATGAAGCACTAAATCCAATTCAGCTATAAAATGGAGAAAGACCAGGATTCCTGCTTGTTCTGTACAATACTTTGTCTTTACAGAGAACTGAAAAATTACTTATGTTTTGAAGACCTCTAAGATATGCTGTTCACTTAAAAATTATATGCTTAAAATGAGTGTTTTATCCTCTACTAACTGAATTCAGTTACTGAAAATTATTAATTTCCTCCCTTAACAAATACTTGGCATCTTTCACTTCTTAAACAGGAAGATCTTTCCTGAATCAAAAAGCTCAACAAAATTACTCAGGAAGAAACAGTATGATTAAAAAGGACAGAAGGTCCACTGACCTGCCTCTCCTTCCCTTGCTGTAGTTCTCATGTAGAACGTTGTGTAAGGGACACAACTGCATTGTTTTAACTATAGACGCCTTGAACCAAAAAAATCCAACAACAGCAAAAGCCACATTTAATTAATTCTTGGTGTTTCACTCAATTTTAACCTTCATTTGCTCCTGAAAAGGGAATGATTTTAGATTCTTAATCTGTGCCTGTAAGTTGTCTTTGAATTATATCATGTTTAGTTTGAAATCAAGGTTTTTTTAAAAACTAACTCTGTTCCCCTCACTGTTAAATCACTGAGGCTTGGAAACTGCATTGCACTACTTGATTTCATCTAGAATCTATTGCTGGTATTTCTAATGTGAATTTATGAGAGTAATACAAGGCTAGAGTATAGCCACTGAGAATGGCCTGTTAGAACTGAGCACGCTTCCCTGTCTTCTAAAGGCCTTCAGTAACTTTGTTCTTTTCTTTTTCCTCTTGGACTGCAGGTTCCTGAAGCGGGTTTCTGAGAAAATGGGCGAGATCTTGAAGGAGGTTACATGCAGCTGCTTGGGGCGGGGGGTGGGAGGGAGCTGTTAGACTGGGATGCCCATTGAACAAGGGGAAAAGGTAGTTGCATGAATGCATGCAGACATACATTTAGTCACTAACATTCTTAGCATTTTCATACATAATTAAGGATGTATTACAAATTCTTAAATTTGTGCAGGAAAATAGGATTCCATTACCAGAGTAAAAAGGCATCTCTTCCTAAAATTGCATTATTTTCATTGTCATAGGTGATCAGAGAGGCCCAAACTATATTTTAGCTCATGCTACATTCTGGTTGGTTTGGTTATACTCTTTCCTACTCATTTTAAATGGCAGTCATTTAGAACCATGTCAGCTACCAGTCTGCCTGCACCACCTCCATGCTCGCCCTTAACCTCCTCTTGCATGCCTAGGACAGTCAGGCATAGCTGCATAATGCTTGTTTGACATCATTGCTTCTCTTATTTTGTAACAAATCATTTTCTTTAAATACCTTCAGTACTAGAGTTTCATCCAGTATCCATGTATGCTGCTATAACTTTTCCACTACAACCATCATTACATTCCAGTTTTTAGCACAACTGGTAAGAGACCGTAATGTATTTATGTTATGTTGATTCGGGGAAATGATACATCCCAGCTCTAACCTACAATGCAGTCAAGAGAAACTTCTAGACCTGTGGTCCATCTTCAGCACATCAGTAACCTACTGTCAGCACTGAAAACCTGGAACACCGCCAGAGAGATTCACCACTGCGAGCTAATGACTATTTTCAGAAGTCAACCACTTGCCATTCTACTGCTGCCTTAAACTATAGTGCCTAAAGCTGTTGTTGCCAACACTACCACTTACAGTATCTCACAAAGGGCTTTGTGTCTCAGCTCTTTCCACAGTGCTGCAGCTGCTGAGGTAGACATGGTAGGTGTTTTGTAGAGCTCAACTTTACAGGATACATGGTGCATCATGAATTTTATACATTGGGATGTGTATCTCTTAATTTGATTTTAATATTTTTAAAACTATTTTTATGGAAACTGTCTTTTAGTTTTTTGACTATGAAGTTCCAATTTTAATTAAATCACTGCAGTGCTAGTCCATTTCTAGGTGATGCTTCATTGTATGGACCAGTTGAAATTTGAGTGATACTTCGTAATGATCTATGTGCACTTTTACTTGTAAACAATTGAAATTTGGATATGTTTATACGTGTAAATATAGTTGTCTGCAGTGCCCCTGTTGGTTATGTTGTCTTGCCTCCCATTTGTGGTTCTATTAATAAATACATCATATCTGATCTACTAGGGTGATAATAATTAGATTAGAGATTTTGGGCGGGGGGGATATTTGCATCAAACAAAGCTTGTCAACCCAGCCAACTGCTGTTTGGGAAATAATAATCAAAACATCCTGGTTTTGTGGAGTCTGAAGCAATATTTGGATGCAGAAGTGCTGGATTCTTTTTAATTTCAGTGTTATTAGGAACTGTACTACCAGTAAAACTGAATTTGAGTGACTTGTGTAGAGCTTTATTCATTTTATACCATTATTACACAGCTTGACCTAGTGTATTATGGGGGCTATTAAATGCTAAAGTTTAGATTTTTGGAGCTTGTATACAGGGTTATTTATATTATAATGTGACAATACTCAATACTGACAAAACTATTTACGTAGGCTGTCTTTTTTTTTTTTAAATAGTACTTTTTTCATTTTAAAACTAGAGGAAAGGAAGAAATGTGATCTGTGTATTTTCTGCTAAAGGGCCTGTGGTTTGCCTGGCTAACAGCTGTACAGGTCAGTAATAACACTTCCTGGGAAAGGACAAAACGTTCTTTTTACACTACTGTTTGTTTTTCTAAAACCAGGATTTGCTTCCATTGAAGGCAGGTTGCTTTTACTAGGGATAGTGCAACTTGTGGGAGGGTTATTAAGCATAGGAAAAAATACACCTGTCCTTGCATAGCTAGTTATAAATCACTTGTTCTAAAATTCTGAATGTGAGGTGTCTAAAAGACTTGCCTTTTCCAGTAATTTTTAATCTTCTTTTTGTGCACATGTTGATTTCCTAAATGTTAAATGCTTTGTTTAAAGATAGTGTTCTCTGTGGAGAATATTTTCATGGAATAAAAAATCTTTTCATGGTTTAAAAAAAATTAGCTTCAAACCTTTTCTTAACATTGATATAACATTGATAGGGAAACTTGGCAGCATGACAGCGTAAACTGGAGCTCTGTTACTTCGTGGTATGGTTGTAGAACCTCTGCAGTGACTATAGCTAAAGGGGAAGAGATTGCCACCATTCTGGTATTGGTTGGTTTGCTCATTTGCCTGCTTATCTTATTCTAGTACTTTCAAACGCTGTAACATGTTACTCCAGAAACAGACTTACTTACAATGAACAAATGCAACTCTGTAACTACAGTTCTTGCCTAACTATTTATACAGTTTCTGAGAATGCTTATACATCAAGTCTGTACATGTTCATGACAATATAATATTTGCTGCTGAAGCATTCTTTATATTAACATTACGCACTCTGATTATCTATGAAATCTGAAGTAACTCTTCATCCAAGAAAAAAAATGTAAGTACTGCTTATCGTGATTCACCTCAGAATGTGAAGTAAGTTTTAATATATACGTACACCCACCTTTACTCATATATGAAAGCATTTTAATTACCTAGGTTGTTTGTTCTTGCCATTTCATCATTCATTTCCTGGCAGCATAGCTGCCCAGCCTCCAGCAAAAATTAAAGTGCTTCACATGCTGTCTGGAAAAAAAAACTTTCAATTGTCCCAACTCATACACAACTAATTTTCCACTTCCATAGGTAAAGTGAAATTTGAGCCTTCTGTTGCAGTCACAGATCATTTCTTCAACTATAGCGTGCAAATTATTTTGCATAAAGATATACTTTAATTCACAATTCTGTACACAGTGTTTTATACCCAGTTAAGGAGTATTATACAACTGTCACATAGTTAATCTATCACTTTATTTACACTATTTGCTTCATTTAAATATAATTATGATGCAGATGCCCCTATTCTTAGGCATTATCAAAAGATTGTAACCTTAAGGAAATGCAGAAAGCTATAGTAGTACTTTACAGGGGTGACCTACCTGCATAAAGGATCATTTAATGATGTACTGACACAGTAAATAAATAATTTGTTGTTGAAGTCAGTAGTTTTAAAACAAGTGTGCATTGTGCAATTAGAAGTTCTAAACATCTTGTGAAATGCAAAAAGTAGGTGCAGTATCAAATTACTGAAAGCAAGCTACAGTTATTTCAAGTATATCACTTAATAGTGTTTATAGTCTTAGATACTTAATTGTTCCACCTGCTTCACTGGAGGAGGTTCCAGTTTTCGGGAAAGTGCAGTTAAAATCTGGCTGAACTTCTCATATCTTTCATTCTGATTAACTTGTGCTCCTTTGCTGCCCCAGAGCAATCTCATTTGAAATTCTGTCTTGAAGATTTCACTCATCTCTTCATCTGGCTGGAAACCTAGTAAGTAAAAAGAATCCCACAGTGTCACCATCAAGCAAGTTTTTTACTTGGAAGAACTGCCTTTTAAACTGCATTCCCTGCAAATAAGAGCTTTAGTCTGCTCAGTTTCTTTTGCACAGTTGTTTTAACAAGCTAGAAAAACAATGAAAAACTTCAGCGTGTTATATTCTAGTAGCACTAGAATGGGATAAGCTGTCCTTTGCTCAATTCTAATGGTCTAGAATTGTTACACATATAATTGTCAGTACAGTCATTAAAAACTAATTACTGATGCATAATTGCTGTAGAACTACATTTCTTCCCCCTCTCAACTTTTTCACTGCAATCTTAAATTATAAAAGTCACATTACTAACATACTGTTCCTTTCTAGCTGCAAGAAGTCAAGATCTTTGTGTTGCATCTTGGCCTCCTGGTAAAGAATCTTGCTATGATAGATGGCAACTTATTTCCAAAAATCAGAGTGCAGACATTAATTGCACAGGAAGCAGTGAGTTTTCCTTGATTCTTCCTGTACTTAGATTCAGTTACCGAGTTTTCTGCAGGACCTTTGCTTCTATATCAGCTCCCATGAAAGTTGAGAAGAATTTATTGTAGCAACTATTCCTTTCACTTAAGCAGAAATCTTATTCTTCCATGGGGGCATAACCCCCATGTTCTGTTAATATGCAGAAGTTTCTCCTGTAGGTGCTCCCTACCTTCCAGCATCCGTTGTGCAGTCAAGCTGTACATTTCTGCATTCTGTGCTATCTGACGAGCTGTGGTCAAGTGCTTGAACATTATTTCACAGCTTTGGTCACTGCTTTCCCACAGATCCATCCCTTCAAAAATGACAGCTTGTCGCTCCATCAAGGTAACAAGAGGCATCAGCAGTGGCAACGTTAGGTTCTGTGGAACACTGACCACCTCTGGAATAGAGAAGAACAAACCATATCAAACATGAAAATGGTAATTGAATCAAATACTGTAAATGCAGTATTTTCTAAGTCAGAAACTGGCATTTGACTTGAATCTTATAAAATTAGCACCTCACTTCTGATATATTCTGTCCTGCCAGTTTCTAGTAAGTTGCTTGGCTTGGGGGAGAGGGCCAAGATGAGATAAACCACAGCAAGAACTGTGGGACTAAAAAGTTTTCTCTCTCTACCTGTTCTCTTAGCCACAGAAGTGTTCAGAGAAACATCCCTCCCCCTTAAAGCCCTATGGAGATCAGAGCTGCTAGGAGCACCTGATGAAGTGATCAAAGGAATTACGTGACTGACCCATTCTTTATATTCCAGAATTCATCCTCTGATCCAGTAGGCAAAGCACATGGAAAACAAATCTGCCCAAAATAACTTTCCTTGGAGAGAGAGGGAGATTTTTATCCCATCTTTGAGGCAAGACTTTGCAGTTATTCTTGGTTTCTGCTCCACTGCATTTTCTGCAAAGGAGGAAGGGCTGAGCAGACAATGTTATGTTCTGCATGGATGCATGCACACAATCACATACATACTCATGTTTTGCTTGTGTGCTGTTTATTTCACTGTTTTACTGCTTTAAGTAGCCTTTTTAAATAATGATACACAGCTGTCAAAACAGCAGCTCATCTCCTTCCACAGGCAAGTGGCAGGGGCAGAGTTAAAAAGCTAAACCAAACAGCATCAAATTCATGCTCAGTATTCCACTCACCTTGTCCTTCATGCAAAGCTTTGCTGAATGGCTTCAGCTGTTTTTCATACATGATGGCAGTCTGGGTGTAATGATGTCTTAAAGAAGTCCACGTTTGTTCTAACCTGGTGACCTGTTCAGAAGAAATGAGAGGAATATACACATTTTTCACTCTAGCAAGTCACAGGAAAAATGCTACCACTGCATAAATTAGTTTAAATGAACCAACTAACAACTCTACTTTTTGGAATGTAAAGAGAAATTTGATGATTTTTTTTCTTTTTTTCTTTTTTTTTCTTTCTTTCTTTTTTTTTTTTTTTACCTGTGGCATTTCCAGTGCTTTCATAATGGCAGAAAATGCATACAAATCTCCCAGTGAATCCTTTAGCTCCACTGCAACTTGGATGATCTTGTTTAATGTTGCAGCTCTGTCTTGCAGATTTCCTGTGCAACCTAAGATATCCACAGCTATTCCTATTGCCATGGTATTGTGCCTGCAAGTGAAACAATTCATATTAGTGGTTACTAATTATTAATACATTATGATGTACATAAGTTCAGAGATCAACTCAGGTATATTTCAGTATCATTTGCTCTTTACAGCATCTTCTTATCAAGAGCTGCAGTGCCATTATATAGAATGTTTTTTTGAGTTTATGTTCTAGTACATTTTCTTCAATGCTATTAATTACTGGTCAGCCAGATCTGTGGTACTCCATTCAAAAAAACCTGGGTAGCGCCCTGTCAGTGTTGTAGAATGTTAGCTGCATTCAACATCAGACACATGGAGCATGACTGCCTGAACCAGCCAAATAAGTTGCTTTTCTGTTTTACTCCACTTGTGAGTAGGACATGAGCTGTCAATAGCTAGAAATCAGAGAGAGATCAGTAATGCCTAATGGCATGCTATCTGGCTGGCTGAATGTCCCTAAAGTTTTGAACGCAAAATTTTGCTTGTGCAGTGAGTGACCAAACTTCTTGTGGATAATAGCCCCAGTTCCCATTGTGCTCCTCCTTGAGGCCTTCCCCCTAAATTTCAGCAACCAAATCTGAAGCAGAGAAACTAAATCAGGATAGAAGATCCCAATTACTCCCCCTTAACTTGGACAGTTTTTACAGAAAACTTTGCTGATAAAAAATACTTATAATTAAAAAAAAAAAAAAAGAAAGAAAACCAACCACAAAAACATCTCCTCCCCCCCACCTTTGCTAGTTCTTCTTTTGCTCTTTTCTCCATCTGCAAAAGGCAATTACCAGTATTCTTTACCAAAAAAACTGCTTGTGTGGACAGCTGGAATGTAGGTCCTCTGAACTTTCCTTAATAGGAACAATTAAAAGCAAGCTGAAGATTTTCAGCAGTTCTAGGATCCTGCTTTCCATAGCATCCACCTCCCACAGAGTTGTCCTATGACCTCAAGGAATTTACTTTTGCAAAAAGAAGTGATAAACTATCTTCTGTACACATAAATTCAGAAAATGTACAAGAAAGCATTCTTTGAGAAGATGCTGAGTACAAAGTAACAATGCCCTGTTCTTTTCAGGGCCATCTGCCTTGGAAATAAGGACTAATAGGAACATTTACCTTTCAATTAGGTCCAGGCGCAATTGATGTCCATAAGGCAAAGTAATCAGTTCAAGACCGGAGTTCACTCCCATAATCCTCCTCATCTCTTCAGAAACTTCTAGTATCCTTGCCACCTGAGAAATGAAAAATTTGACGATGAATTTTGAAACTACTTAAAAAACCCACAAACTTTCCACGTAGTGGCACTCTAGGTTAGTTCTAGGACATAAACAGGAGCGCATGACAATAGAGTGCAGTAATCCAAGAACAACTCAACTCTCACACAGCCACTGTCTCACACGAGACCGGTAAAAAAACTTTCTGCCAATGATTCTATAATAAGAGAGCATAAAAGGTGTGACCAAAATACTTCGTCAAACTACGTCCTCTGCTTCAGAAGGAGATCTATATGCAAGCTCCAGGAAAGGTGCTCCCTTGATCTGATGCTTATCAACATGGTGCTGCTCTTGGGCCTTTAAGATTGCATTTGCTCAGCTTTCCTTATTTCTAAGAGGACAACATTGCTCAGAATGTTTTAGATTACACACAGGGTTCTTTAAGGATTAACCAGTAAAAGGACTTTGGGGAGGACAGAGTGTTGAGTGCCTAATGAAATCAGTGTGTGAAAACTGGCACCCTCACCAATTTGCCCCTGGTTTTTAACCACACTGTATTAGCTAATGGTTATAATCAGCAACAGTTACAAGCAGAGCTAAATTAATATAACGTGAGGTTATCTGTCAGATTAAGGCCTATACATTGACATGTTTACAAACCAATCTGCCTCTTATTTCTAATACATGTATCAACAGTCTTTTTTGGTTATGAAAAGACAAAAACAATCTGCCATGCAGCAAGCCTCACTGGTGCAATATCAAGCACCATAGAGAAACTTTTCACTTCTAGAGAAGCAGGAGTGATACAAAGGCCCTGGATGCATGCAGATCACAACTGCTTCACAAAGATTCCTCTCCAACATGCAAGTGGTAGACTCACTCCACCACTTAACGAAGAGGTGCTTCCACAAATGAAAGTTTCTATAGAACTGCAGATGTTATTTAAAGGCAAAACTTCTGATGCCACAAGAAGGCCTATCATCTTCAGCCTTGACACAGATCTCAGTACAAAGATGTATTCTGGCCCAGGTGGCATGCCAGTCTCACTGTAACTTAGCAGTTTTTACCAGTGTAATAGTATCCAGCAAGTTACCCATGAATGACTGTCACTGGCTCTCAACTCCACAAGATGAAGACAACAATACAGAACTTGTCTTTGTGTGCTAGCTAGTCACTGTTCCTGCTCCAATGTACAAAAATCTGAATATTTAAGACACTCCAGCCCCACCTTAATTGTACAGGTTCGCATTATTTAGTGTCCTTAGCTGGCTATTTAGTGTCCTTAGCCCCAGTCCAAAGCTTACAGGATTTAAAATAAAGAGGCCATCACTGGAAGAAGGCTTCAAACCATGTGACCTCCCCAGGAAAGCATCCTAGAGAGCTGCTGTCTTGCTCTGAGTTAACATACTTGCCCCTACACCAAGTTTTCCTAAGTAGCCATGTCTCCGTGAAGCCTCACTTAGCAGCAGCCACCACTAAGTGAGAATCAGAGAACACATAGCAACTGATAGCAGATTAAAGAGATGTATGGAACACTGAAAATTTGAGCCTGAAGCCAAGGCTGATAGGAGACACATTTAGTCCAAAGGGATTTGGAATATTTTTGTTCTTCAAATAGGGAAAAAAGTCACCCAAAAATTCCTGGGTGTCGGTACATTTAATATTCTAGCTGCAAATCTACCCATTAATCTTTTCAAATCTAATTCTTTGAAAAAAAAGCCTATACTTGCACAATATAAAGTATAGTGAAATATATATAAAATATTTATTTATTTTACCTTGCAGTCCATTCTAAGAATATGCTGTGCAATAACCTTTGGGTTATTCTTCGTGAAAAGCTCCTTAATTTTTCTTAGCATTGATGTTTCCAAAGGCTTGTTTTCAGAAGGAAGTAGTTTGGATTCAAAATCATTTGGTTTAAAACTAGACAACGTCTCAAAAAGAGGTGCAGAAAACACATTGTTTTCTTCAGCCGTCTCAGTTGAAACATCTAAAGGACCTGCAGAGTTTGTTGTATGGTCATCATCCAGGATCAAATAACTTGTTTCAGAGTTCCTGAACGATTGTGTTCCCCTCTCCTTTTGTGTCAGATGCTCCACGTAGCTGTTTTTCTGGCATAAGTGTTGTTTTGTTGCTGCAGAATCTCTGGCAAGGCTTAGCTCACAATAGTGTCCTTCCGAGCTGTGGGAAGCCGTAGGAGAATCTGGGGTCTTCAGCAGGGTTGCTTTGCTGGGTTTAGGTGGAGGCTTTGGATAAAGCTGGCTGTCTGATCCTCTAAGAGCTTCTCCTACTTGTGAATCATAGGTTACTTTCTGAACAACCGTGGGGCTTAAAGAAGGTTCACTGCCTGTTCGAAACGCAGGAGAGCTTGGGCAGGAGTCAGCATCTGCTTCAGGTAATCGAGAGGAATGTCTTGAACCTGCAGAAGAAAACAAAAAGAAAAAAAAAAATCTATTTTGTTGATACATTAATTTAGAAGGCCAAAACACACAATTCCTGGTGCCTGTAGCCCAGGGTCTTTTCTTAACACTATTTCCTGAGGAAATTATTGTCTGAACACACAAATTATTCACTGATTATATGTATATGAAGTTAAATTTTGAGGAGTGAGCTAACCAACAAATTCCATTCAATTGCTGATCCTCCCAAAATCCCAAGTACACAGAACAGCTGCACTGTGTTATTCTGTGGGAATGCTGACAGTAACTCCAGTCCCAGCTGCATACATAGGCTGTAATGTCAGAGCTGGATAGTCTCCATGGCTTGGAATAGGAGGTTTCTTTGTAACCTGATCTATGCTACAAAAACAGAAACTTCCAGCCACACCGCATAACAGATGAGTCATTTCTGAGAATGATAAGTTTGAGATGAAAGAAAAGCTTCCCAAAGTCAAGCCTGAGCACATACTAAGGTATGGAAGGAATGAATTTCAAGGATGCTAACTTTTTTGGCTGAATAGTAGCTAGTTTGAACAGCTGGAGAAATGCATCCAAGCATTTGTGTGTTGAATGCTTACGCCTCATCCTATGTTCATTGTGTATGCAAAACTCAATATCCAACATGGGATTTAAACCTTTGTCAGACATTCCCAATCTGCAGTTCTCAGTGCATTTGCTGCTACCTGCAGCAAAGTGTTTTTTACTATTTGTTTCACTTGACTCTCAATTCATGTATGAGTCAACAAAATATGCCCATCACAGCCCATCACCTGTAAGTGCTATGATGTCAGAACCTGCTCAGAGGACCCCATGACAAAATGCACAGAAGTACTTTTTAGATTAATACCAAATTAAAGATTCACAGTACCAAAGTGAAGATTTTGCAGCCATAGATTGGAATAAGATAATAAATTTAATTACAGATGGACAGAAACTTGTTTTCTAAATGTCTCTGTCCACCCCACTGTTAAACATGGAAGCACATCCTTTCTATCAAAATACAGTTTCATCATACAAGTACTTAGTATTTTTTTTGTCTCATGTAGTCTTCCCACAATGAGCAGTATAATTTTAAGTTATCATATTCAAAATGACTGGCAGCCTTGGAAGGCAAGCACTAGAATTTGCCCAAATCACGACAGATGCATCACTGGTAACTAAAGAACCTATTCCAATGACTGTACTTAAAGTGCAAGCAGTATAGTAATTCAGCGTATATAGTGGTAACTGTATATACAGTCCTCAGAGTAGTCTCACTTTTGTCTAAAGCATAACAGAAAACTCAGGCACTCGCTGCTTTTATGTGCAAAATGTTTAATCACAAAACGTACCTATCAGCAAATAGCTCTCCGACTGGTGAGTCTTAAGAGGGAATTTCTTGTCCAGAACGTGATCCAAACTAGCTGGCTGGCTACCACTTTTTTCTTTGTTTCTAGGGTAAACAAAAATCCAAGCAAAAACATAAATATACTCCACAATCTTAACACACATATCTGAGAGAACATACTGTAACTAGGGCAAGGATCGTTAGCTTTCTACTCAGGCAGCTTGTATGATTAAAAAGATACTTCATGCCATCATGGGAGCAATGAAATGAGTTACAATATGTGTGAATTTCCAGCATTTAGGATTGCATTTGAATGTTGAGAGTTCTTAATATGACATTGATCTGAACACTGTAATTAGTATCTGTTATCAGCTGGGAGCTGATAGAGCTCCCTCATTTCACCCCATAAGGACAGAGAAAATAAAGTACCTCAAAAGATTTCCTCTAGGTATGCTCTGTTCCTGGGACTGCATGCTGGATATACCAAGACTAAGTCTTTTTGCAATTTCTGTTTTTCCTTCAGGGATACTTTGCTCTTTTTGTCGGTCTGGAGTTATGCCATACTTTTCTTCTAGACACCTGAGAGGCACAGTCCTGTTGATAGGCTGAAAAATAATTGCTCCACTCTGTTTTGATATTGGTGTGCGATTCCCAACATAGTATCTGACTAAGCCAGGGATACTGTCAAAACTTTCAAGTTCAAACTGATATTGAACACGGCAGTAGGCTTCACTTAATCTTAGAACTTTTCTGTTGATTTTAAAATGCTGAGAGGTATTCTTCCACTGACAGGTAAGAACAAAGCTCCCAGGACAGGAAAGAGAATCCCTAATCAGAAAATCTCCATCCCTCTGAACTAGGTCTTCTGCCACCTGTAAGGAAAAAGATTACAAAAAAATTCTTTTAGAATCAGGGAGCAAATATTCAAATACCAAGTACCACCAAACAACAAAATATTCTTAAACACAGGACTTAATTTGGCTACTCTAGAAGGACAGACAAAATCAGAAAATAGAAAGCAAAGTACAAAGCATGGTAGAAAAATTCTATCTCCAATTCTAAAAATTATGAGGTCATCCCACGGCAAAGATCTGGAGGGACTTCTTGGAAAACACCCAGCAATCAGAAGAATGTATACACTTTTGCATGTATAAATTTCTTCTAGTTTGCTACTAGAAAGCAAAATATGAAAGAAAATAAATGACTCTTTATTTTACGGTTTAAAGCATCTGAATATACAATCACACAAACATTTAGAAATGATTACTATAGGACCCCAGAAATTGTGCTTTCATTATTACCTGAAGTGATAGAAGCTTTCATTTTTTATTCTTAATGAATGCTGCATAAAACTAGGAAGGAGTCAGAAAAATCCTGTTTTGCTGTATTAAATTAGTCCTTTCTATATCATAAGCTATGAACATGAAGTCACAAACATGGCTGCTATGTCTGCACTCCTTATTGATGGGTCAGCAGGCAGCCGGTGGCTCCCCTGAGAACCGGGTGCGCAGAGGGGAAGCCTGCAGGGGGAGCTCCAGGCACTCCTGGAAGTTGAGCTCCAATACAACGGCTGTTCTAACACATTTCTAACCGCGGTCATAATGATCAGAATAAATTTATTGAAGAGACTTTGTGCTTTTTTCTTCCCCAAAATCAAAGCACAAGAAAGAAAACAAAGAACATTTAAACTTTAGTTCAGAATACTGAATCAAAGTATCGTCTGAACAATATGTGCAGATACTGTTCTGATAGAAAGTTTAAACTCAATTTCTGCCTTTATTCAGTGAAAAAAAATCCTGAAATAGTTATAATTTCCACCAGGGTCTTCCCGAATCCTTTCTTAACTTCATTTTGCACCAAGCTGTGATAAATACAACTTTCACAGTTAAAAAGTCGTATGTTTCTGCTAAATTAATGCAGATCTTAGAGGTGTGTGTAATTCTTCAGTGCAATTTTGCCTATGAAAGCTCAATACACTGTTGGCAACAAAAAGATAAAGAATACCATACCTGCCGAGGAATACGTCCGTGGTACCAGGCATGGCTACGCAAATCTTCACTGCTGAGCTGTAGTTCTTCCTCTAGCTCTTTCTTCAGTTTTTCTGGGCTGTTGTCCATAACTTGCCGCTCCTTAGAAAACTGCAATAAAAGATTAAAAGCTTTGAGTGTGCCAAGTTTAGTCATTAACATTTTACCTGGGTAATAACTTCCATCACATGATCTGCACTAACCACTGGAATGCAGGTGCTGCTTTCAGCAGGCTGGCCCAGCTTCTATCTCTTGCTGTATTTTGAAAAATCCAGTGTTTAGTGAACATATTATTGTTATACACTGCACAGAATACAGAGGTGTTCTTTTTCTCCACCAAATCAATACTACTACACCTGCAAAAACACTTCTCTTACTTCCTCTTCCTAGTAAAAATTCTAATTACCCCATAAAGTAGAACTGGATCCACATACCTTGCTCCAATATTCTCCCTCCTCTTTAACATTCCATCTTAAATTTGGATTCTTTGGAGTTCTTGTGCTGTTATTGTTGTAGTTGTTGGTTTTTTATCTAATCCCTTTGGCCCATCCAATTAAAAACATTCCATACTCAATATTTCTGTTGCACTAAACATAAGCTGACTCTACCAAATTAAATTTCTATCCTTAAAGGGTTTGCTTTGAAGGGTCACTAAATCTGTACATCTAGTTTTCTTCCTTCTTGAGGGAAAGCGTTCTTGTTGCCCCTTTGCCCAGAAAGCATGAGATCCTTCTAACACCAAGAAACAACTACTGTAAGATGTTTCTGGAAACTGTCTATCATTTCTTCTTGGAAGACAGTTTCCATGCTGGAACAATCCCACCAGGATTTGTTAGTCCTTCCTGTGAACTATTAGTAGTATTATAATAACAACATAAGGTGCAGCATTTGCTCTAGCAACATTTCAAGTACTCTTTTGTAAGCATTTAGAGGAGGGAATTTCTTTGGACTTTCTTACACTTCTTACACTCCCCCTTGAAGGAAAGTAATAATAATAATAATAAGATAACTTTAAAGAGAGAGACAACATAGGTCTCCAGCAGTGAAGTAGATTAAAATGAAACATATTCCTCGTGGCATTACTTTCTTTTTTTCTTTGGCTCTGGATATAAGCCAAAGCTTAAAGGTTCCCTTCTCTGACACACTGATGTAAATATGCAATGCATGCATTATTTTAAAAATAACTGGTCACACACAGGTCCTGTTGTTTTCATGAACACTGCTTTCTATAGTATTTTTGTCTTTAAACATTCATGGCACCTGAGTGTGGGAGCAGGTGGCACACATTTAGCACTTCTCTCAGCAATCCTCCCAGCAATTTAAAGTAGAATGAGTTACAGCAGACTACTAGACAGCAGATTTCAGGGAGAGTAATGCCAGAAGAGGCAACCTGCTGCCAAGACTTATTTAAACATGCTGAGAGGCCTGAGAAATTCTGAGATAAATTCTCTACTTCTCTGCTCTCCTCAGAGAAAATTATGGATTTATTTATTTATTTATTTGAGATGAGCACAAGCAAGAGTGGTTGCTTAAAGACAAAAAAAAAAAAAAAAAACAACAGACAAGAACATCCTTGTAAAGGATCACTTCTCATCAGTTTTACTTCTGTGAGCTACAACCGAGTTATATTTGTCTACACAAATGTGGTTCAAATTTGACAACCATTTTCAACTCTTTAAACTCTTATACAGTCAAGGCCTTTCACCAATCCTTCACAAGTCTTTTCAGAAGAAAAACTCTGCACAGATACGATCCACACCACAAAGGCCATCTTCCCTGCATGGACTTTTACATAAAAACATGCCCAGTATGAATAGATGAAGATATGAAGCCCAGAAAGTCACATAAGAGGCTGTGGTGAGGTCTCAAATCTAAAAGTGAATCCAAGTATCAACATGTAGTCAAGTAAGGTCAACAATTCCCCCTCCACTCCAAGGCTCACTGAGCTGTCAGGCTAAAATAGCTGAAATGACCTGTGGGACATGTTTGCCACGTTTGATTTCCCAACTCAAATAGCTGGCTGTGCATTTAAAGCTGACCAGCACTGATTCCAAAATTAACAGCTAGCTATTTCACTGCCACGTTTGACAAAATTGTAAGAAGTATTATAATATTCACAAAAGCTGAGGAGGCAAAGGCAGGGCACACAAATAGAGAGTACAATTTTTCAGGAGCACCCAAGCCACCACATTTTCCATGACTGCACCGGGAAGCGGCTAGAGAGCTTTCAAAGTCCCCTCTCTGATCTAAGCAGGATTCAGTTGCAGTGGTACACACATCTTTTATATTCGCACCTGTGTATTTTGTTGACTTTCTGAAAAAGACTAATACTTTTAGGTGAACTGTACATATCACAAAAACATTTCTGAAAGATATTTTTTACTGAGTAACTAGACTAGAGGTATTAAAAAAAAAATCACCAGACTGCTATAGCAAAATGTTATTAATTCTAAAAGCATCTCACTTTGTCTCAGGGGTAGGCAAAGCTATTGTAAACGGAACAGACTACAGCACACAAATACAACAACAGTTTGCTTAGGAGAACTATTCTTAGCCAACAGAAAGAGCTGCAGATCTTCACATATCAACTAATTTCATCCACACTGCTGACATGAATTATCTTAAAAAAACAAACAAACAAAACAAAACAAAAAAAAAACCAACATGGGTTAATCCAAGTTACACTTGCACATGAATTTCAAAAACAGCAGAAAACCCTTGAACTTCCCCCAGTGGTTAAAAGGATATTTCACTACTCAAATGTAATGAGACATTTTGCACTTGAATTACATCTAACACAACAGAAAAACATTTAAGGAATCCAAACCAACTAAATTGTTAACATTCACAGTTATCGATCTCTTATAAATCCACTCCACTGTGGTTTACCACACTGAACATACCTGCCTGCCAGAGGTCAGCCATCTCCCTAGATAAAGCAAACATGCTGAAATAACCCTTATGCAACTCTGAACTCAGTGGAAGATCTTCTGTGGCTAGCAAATATTCCACAATATGCAGGGGACAAACTGCCTAGGTAAGCAAGTTCAGTACTAACATGCCTTCCTGGACAGTTTTTTATTGGCTAAGACATTTCTTATATAACCTGAGTGCACTGAAGGGAAAGTGCAAGAATGGGCTCAAAAATGAGCCCAGGCACAACATACACAACCATGTTAGTCCATAATCAAGAGAGAGAATCAGCTAGGAACAGCACAATTAGCTATTTCAATGGACTTGCAGTTAAAAAGATGACTTATTCCATGCAGCATGACACAGAGACTTCAGCCTCATTTCTGAATACGTCACAGCACCTAAATATCAATGGACAGCAGCAGTATGCTGCAAACTTGCACCAACTTCATAGTGATAAACTTGCATTTAGCAGTACACTCTCAGTTGGTGTATTTGCCTTACTGGCTCCTGCCCAACTACAAGAAAACTCAATTTCTATGTACAGCTGGAGAGTGAAGTGGATGGTAAAAAGAAATAAACAACAAAAAAAAACAGGGCTAAATTAAATGCTTCATTATATATAGTGCAAAACACATTTGAAGCAAAATGGAAAAGCCTCCAGTTCAGATACATTACAATTTCCAAGTAGTAAAAACTCTTGAAAAATCTTTGGAGTATGTAAACAAATTAAGCCAGCAAGTCTTCTTTCCAAATACAGATGCTTTTATTGACCTACAAAGAGTGATGTGCTTTCCAAAACCTTTTGTTCATGTTTTAGTTGCATTGTTTTCGGTCTAGGTGTTATTTTAAGGCTGATTTTTTTTTTTTTTTTTTTAAGCAGGTCTCTATAAGAAAAAATGCCAATCTACCTCTCAACGTATTGTCAACTTCAAGCAAAAGCCCTCAAAATCCTACCTGTGCACCTAAAGAAAAATCCAAATGCCAAAAGCTCAGAGAGAGGAAAAGAAAGAAAATAGTTAGTACAATTATTTTAGTGCTTTTAATAAATGCCACACCAGTTGATTACATTTCACAAAAAAATTCTGCTTCAAGGCCATTACATCTGTAAGCACAGCTTGCTTTTGGTTTAGCAAGCTACTCTTGTATTACATAAGATTTCACATTTTTCAGGCAAACATTAGCCTAGTGGACTGAAGACTGGGACATAAAGTTTAAGGAAATCAAACCAATTGCCAAAATATAAACTTCTTGCACGTAAATTTAAAAAGGTCTTGCCATTACATGCTGTTCCTAAGGAGCTTGTGAACACATCTTAATGGACACTTCTCACAATAATCTGCTGTTCAGGCATTTGAGACATTATTTTCATTTGAGACTACGGCACTCTCCGAAGGAAACCTGCTATATCAAGCTTATTTCAATCATTCTAGCTGAGTTAATCACACTAGATTAGAATAAATTTTAACTGTGCTGAATAGTCTACTGAGTTTGGTGATTAGAATAAGAGTCCCATAGTTATTTCTGTTTGCTACTCGCAGTGGATTGTTTCTGCAGTTCATATCTGCATCAGCTCCAGTGAAGTACACGTATCAATGGTCTACATATATCCCTGAAGTTCTATCTCATGAATCCTAGCTTTCTTGGCTTACCTCAATTTCTATCCCAAACTGGCATACATAAGCATGATTGAATTGGAGCACTGATCCAAGTTCAGATCTTCTCTTTGTATTTTCTATTATCATATAGAAAACAAAGCAAACTTCTGCTCCTGAGATCCTAATTTAACATGCTATAAGTACAGCAAAAGGCAAGTCTTCAAGCGCTGCACCTTCCTGTGCTTTGAGGGGGCATGACGGTCCCTTGAGATAGCAATGACCATGGTAAGTTCCATCGTGACTGCAATGGCTCTTCAAAACCAAATTAATTTAATTTAGTGTAAGCCTTCAGATTGCCATTACGAAAAATCTAACTAGCCTGCCATCTACACACAGTAGCCATTTTTAATTAGTGAGATATGTGTTTGAAAGAGAAAAAATAAAAAAGACTTTTCATACCAAGTTTAGTCTTATGTCAGCAGAAGGCAATGGAAAAAAATCCACATATTTTCCAGATGTCCACATTCAGAGCTGGGAGGACAGCCTCATTTCTGGAATATGCTCCTGAGAAATCCTGAGTTTAGAGTTAGTCAAATCCTA